TAGACGATCAACCGCAGAAGTGAGTCTAGGGCAATGGGCATCACTACATGTGAACTTATATGGGTGTTGAAAACAATTCCCTTCAATCCATTACTATGAAGAGGTATGGCGACAATCAAGGCTGCTCTCCACTTGTATCAAATCAGAGGGTGTACGAGAGGACTCTAACATTATAGAAATTGATGCATGTGATCGTGATGAAAAGTTGTTGGACCAAAGAAATAGGTACTGAGTTTATGGGGTTCAAACGATCAACTCGCCAAGTATTGGACCAAGTCATTTAAGGGGTCTTCGGATTGGGGTTTTTTTATTTGTTACAAAGATTGGTAAATAAAATTGTATGCTAATAGATATTTGAGGGGAGAGAGGGGTTTTGAGGGGAGTGTAGGTCAGAGGTGTTTGAGTGAGGGTTAGGATATTTATCCTATTTTGATCATCATTATAGTGGGTCAAGGGTACCTATTTTCATGATTATATTGTTCTAGGATTATCATATTATTATGATTATATTGTGTCTAGGGTTACCCTATTTATCATGTACTTGTGTATCAATTTATTCTTATAAATAGAAGATTGTGAGAGGGATCAATTAAGTCCTTTAGAATTATTTTACAGTTTCAATCTTAAGTAAAATTTTGGAGACCGAAGGGTCCAGTCAAACATAGCTTAGATCTCCCACTGCCTATTATATGCTATCTATAACAAGTGTATGTAATGAGTTTAAAGCTCAGTAAGCTTTAACATAAGGGGACTGTTAGAATACAAAGAAAATTTCTTTAGTTTATTAAGAATATCTTAAATTATTTTTTCGTTTAGTTTGTAATCTTAGATTATCCTTAGGATTAATTTCCCATCCTATAATATCTTCTAGAATAACTACGTAACAGGCTGAGTGCTCTGGCATATATGCTATAGCTTGAAGGGGAGTATGAATTTGATTAGATGTGTAGTTTATCTTTTATATAAGGTAACCGAAGATTAATTTATCTTTTAGATAGTCCTTAGATAATATTTTATTTTTTGTGTATGTCTCTGTATATGGATACAGATTCTGTAACTCAACCCAACAAACTGAATAATACAGATTCATATAAGATTTATAAAGGTTTATCTTCCGTCCTTGTTGGTAAATAAAGTCCCAGATTGTGTGGGATGAAGAGAAGAAAGTATATATCAGTTTGGTTCTTGTATTTAAGAATTTCTTTTTTATCATTTTGGATCAATTTCCATACTTGCATACAGCTCATTGAGTCTACACTTTTCCTCTCATTGCACTTGTGCGAAATTCAAACGGTGAGTTCAATGCCCAACTGCCTGTGTCAATAAAAACCAAATTGGGCCTTTTAAACCCAAGTAGAAGAATCACTAGTCCAGACGAGAGGCCTCTGAGGCTCTGTTGAGGACAAGCTAAAGAAATGAAATAAATCACACATGGGTTGACAAAAACAATCCAACTGAATAACTCACTTATGTATTACTCACTAGGTCTGCACTCCTCACAGTGGGAAAAACTCAACACCCTGAAAAACTTTGTAACTTTAACAATTCATATAAAGATATCTTGTAATGTTAATCTTTATTAATTTGTCTTCTCTTAGACCTTAGAAAAAGTTGTCATGTATCTGCTTACATATTATACACTCTATCTTCATTGATTGTTTGTGGATAACAGAAGTAACTTTTAGTAGTATGCTTCATTTTGCTTGATTGAATTTAATATGTTGAAAGTGATTTATGTTCTTATTAATATCTCTATTTATTTCTCTAAATGGAAATAATCATCAGTTCAAGTTAGTCTGATACTTTCAGTGGATTGTGCAGATCTAGATTATATTTCGGATGTTCCACGTAAACAGGTAGCCTGTTTTATGTGAAATTGTTATGTTATAAAACAAATACTTGATAAAGCTTCTAGGTTTTTCTCTTCTGCCTTTAAGTAAATGTTTGACTGCTATAGGTTAGCAATTGGAGAGAATGGCAGGCATTGCAGGATCTTAAGTCACTTCTTTCTGAAGAGGCAAGCAAATACTTATAAAGTTTGGGCTATTCTTCCATGTTCGTCAGTTTTATTTCATGTAAGAATATTTATTGGTTTTCTAATAAATATTATCTTTTAGGTCCTTAATGTTATTGTATCCAGCACGAATGATTTGGGACCTTTCAGTCTTGACAATCTCAGAAAGAATTTGTCTGCTTCATGGAGAGTTGTTGGATTAGAAACTTCAAACAGTACACATGAGGTTTGGAAGAACAATGTGCTTCTTCCTGGAGCTCTCAATCCTAATTTTTGTTTTTAAAAACAGAAGGCGTTTTTGCTGTGTAGATGCTAAACGTGTATTTCTTTTTTGTTACAGCTAAACCAACCAACACATGTTAGACAAGAAAAGCCAAAGATGAAGGATGGAAGGTCTTCAGGTGGTATCATAATCTATATTAATTAGTATGCTCGATTCTGCTTCTTACTTTACTTTCTAATTTTCTTTTTGCTTAATGCAGATGGTATTCCTTTGTGGACTGATAGTCCTGCACATGAAACCCGAAGGGTGAGCATCATTCTTTGAAATTTGTCTTCAATCTCACTAGTTTTTTGTTGGGGTAAACCATAGTTTTGTGTTAATTTGCACAGTGGATATGTACTATGCCTTATTTTCCCTTTTTTTTTGGCAAGGGAAATGTGATTTTTCTACCTTCAATTGCTTGAAATTTGTGCAGCAAAAGATGTCATTTTATTCAGATCTTATTGAACCATTGAATTTTATAATTTAGTACTCACTTAAATTAGAAATAATATTTTACAATATCTGTATTTATTCTATTCTTTGTAGATTTACTCACTAAACTAATTTACCCAACACTGGTGCTACGCCAACTTTCCCATTGATGAAAAAGTAGGAGTAGCACTTTTTGTAGAAAAGATAGTAGAAACTTGCCTTAGATTGTTTGGGCGTGTATGGAAATAACATATTCAGACCACAATTAAATAAACTTGTTTCATGTTTTTTATAATTTTTTTTGCAGCATTTAATAGAGAAGAGGCGGGAAAAGCGTGCTGCTGAGTTGGTAAAAAAGGATAATGTAGTAATTGTAAAACTTGAAAACGCAGCTATTGAACGCTCAAAATATGTTGAGTCAGCTGTTCTGGGGAAATACAGCCTTTGGAGGAAAGAAATTGAGAATGAAAATGGTGATTCTACCGTTCGGTTGATGCGAGACCAGATCATTATGGCTAGGGTATATTTAAGCATTGCAAGGATGAAGAACAAGGTCGAACTTTATCAAGAACTAATTTTCCGGCTCAAAGAGAGTCAACGTGCCTTGGGTGACATAGTTTCTGATGCGGATCTACATCACAGGTTTGAAGCCTTGTGTAATTTTATAGAAGGAATGCATTTATTAGCACTTTAATTCTTTTGAATTTGCTGACTTAACTAGTTGAGCGTCTAATTATCTCTAGTGCACATGGGAAAATAAAGGCTATGGGTCAAATTTTGTCAAAAGCAAGGGAGCTATTGTATGACTGCAAATTGGTCACTGGAAAACTAAGAGCAATGCTACAGACAGCTGATGATCGAGTTAGGAGTTTGAAGAAACAGAGCACATTTCTCAGTCAGTTGGCTGCTAAGACCATACCAAACGGAATCCATTGCTTATCCATGCGCCTTACCATAGATTACTACCTCCTTCCTCCTGAAAAGAGAATGTTCCCTCGAAGTGAGAATTTGGAGAATCCCAGTCTTTATCACTATGCACTGTTTTCAGACAATGTCTTGGCTGCCTCTGTTGTTGTCAACTCAACTATTACGAATGCAAAGGTGACTTGGACTGTCTTTTTAACAATACTATGTGCAAGTGCATTGTTTCCTTTATTATATATTCCAAATAATTGTGCCTTGACATTAACATATATTGCACGTGAAATGTATCTATAACATATATCCGGCTCTCATTGTCTTTATGTTTAATATCTTGGACATTGCAGGATCCTTCAAAGCATGTTTTTCACATTGTTACTGATAAACTAAATTTTGGTGCCATGAACATGTGGTTTCTATTGAACCCTCCTGGAAAAGCTACAGTCCATGTTGAAAATGTTGATGAGTTTAAGTGGTTGAACTCGTCCTACTGCCCAGTCTTGCGGCAGCTCGAATCTTCTACAATGAAAGAGTATTATTTCAAAGCAGGCCATCCAAACACACTTTCTTTCGGTGCTTCCAATCTTAAGTATAGGAATCCAAAATATCTCTCAATGCTCAACCATCTGAGATTCTATCTTCCTCAGGTTTATCCAAAGTTGGATAAAATTTTATTTCTTGATGATGACATTGTTGTTCAGAAGGATTTGACTGGATTATGGGATGTGGATCTTAATGGGAAAGTAAATGGTGCTGTTGAAACGTGTGGTCAGAGCTTTCATAGATTTGACAAATACCTTAACTTCTCTAATCCGCATATTGCAAGAAATTTTGATCCAAATGCCTGTGGTTGGGCATACGGGATGAACGTATTTGATCTAAAGGAGTGGAAAAAGAAGGACATCACCGGTATATATCACAAGTGGCAGAATATGGTAAGCAGTTGAACGAAACATTGGTTTTACATAAATTGTCTATTCTCACACAAATAGAATATCGATACAAATTTTTCACCGACTTTCGTTTTTTCTATCTGGTTTTAGAATGAAGACAGGGTGCTGTGGAAGCTGGGGACATTACCTCCAGGGCTAATAACGTTCTATGGGTTGACACATCCGCTAGATAAATCATGGCATGTACTTGGTTTGGGTTATAATCCAAGTGTGGATCGATCAGAGATTGATAATGCAGCAGTTGTACACTACAATGGTAATATGAAGCCATGGTTAGAAATTGCCATGACAAAGTATCGGTCTTACTGGATCAAATATGTCAAGTACAGTCATCCCTATCTTCGGACCTGTAAGCTAAATGAATAAACCCTTCATAATTTGGTCCCAAATACAGAGAACAATTCTCTCTATTTTCTCCAGCCTTCCCTACTTTCTCTCACTTTTCTGGCTTTGCTATTTCATCTGCTAGAATGATGATACATGTCTTAGAGCATAGGATGGGTAGGGTAAGCTCGTGTTATATATTTGTCCCCGTCATCGATTTTTTCTATCAATTCATTTAAATTGTTCACTAAACTCACCCATTCGAAACAAGGTACAGAAGTAGTGCACCTTGTTTACCATAAAAACTCCTCATTGTACCATACTCTGGTTCTTGGATAGGACTAGAAATCAAACATCACATTTCTGTATTCTTTGGAACTTAATTTCTTCTGTTTTAAGGGTTTATTTCTATGTATAGATGTTTTTAAACTCTCAAATCATGGACTTTTCATTACTATGCCTTGCTATTCCTAATTCTCCTTTTTCATTAATTGAGTAAGCTTCCACTGCTCCACTTTGGCACTTAGGTGAGTTTTAGTAGAGTATAATTTTTTTTGTTGCATGTATTTATTTATTTGTTTAATGGAAACTAAATACGAATTTAATAAGATTTCTTCAGTAAATGTAATATTTTATGCATTTTTTAAGTATGTCAATCTTATAAATATTTTTTTATGAATGTACAATCAATGGTTTCATTTACATTATGCATATTTTTTTTTTCAAATAATAAATTAGTATTTCTGAATTTATGCTAAATCAGGACTTGAACCCAACGAAAAAGATGCATAAAAGGTAAGCAAAATTAAGACATTACAGTCCATACAAAGTCAATGAACCGAATTTTCATTATGAAAATGGTATGGTGATCCACTTAGCAGAGCACTGGAAGCAGCACCATATTCCCAGTTCCTCGGTGTAGACCTATAACTAGAGAAGGAGGACCTCTTAGACAAAGGCATTCATAATCAAACTCAGTAAGAACAACTTTGAGCACAGGAACACATGGATAAATTGGTCAGCCTGTTATCTCATTTTGTTTCATACTGCAATTGGTCCAGTGGTTCCCAGAATGATTTGCTTATCCATGTTTTTATCTTCTTGTACATCTGAACTCATAAGCAGAATTGAAACATGAAAGCAAAACTTCTCATAAATTATAATAGTACAAAACATAACCTAAAACAAAAAAAGCATGAACCATATCCCATCCTCCATTGCCAATTCCAAATTCTCATAATTTCATTTTATTATTTAAGGGGTGTTTTTGTTGTTGTTAATAAATCAGTAAAATAGGTATATGATGCATAAAAATAATAGCTGATGTTTTTTTTTTTTACCTTTAAATTGGCTTTCGGAAGCTATTTTTGGAGTGTGTCAAAGTTTAGCACTTCCTAAATTTCCCTTTTGAAAATCTATAGGAGTAAATAAAATACAAGTTATCTATTTATAAAAAGAACAAGATTCATGGAATCTGAATCCTCTTTTGCCAATAAAATATTCATGTGATTGACCCCGTTTTAAAAAAAATTCCGTTTATAATAAGCAATATGCGATATGGGTGTTTTGAGATTGATGTTTTGTCCAAATCCCATTGTGCTTGAATTGACAACTTTTTATCTCATTCATTTTTGGTGTCTAACTTTATATCTCCTTTTTTTGATTTGCAACTCAATATCAAATAAGAATCGTCTGTCCCCCGCTATCGCGTAGACTGAACCACTCATATATGTCACAAAAAATGTATTTTTATGCCTCCATCGCAATTACACCTCTTCAATTTTAACTACACTTTTTTGTATATATATACCTTACACTTAAGATTCAAAAATTCCAATTAAACAATTCAATATTTGTTCAAAGTTTCAACAACTCCTATATTTTCATTAATACATAACAATTATTATTACCACTATTATTCCTATTATAAACTATAATTTAGTAAAACTCTGTCCACAAAATGACCGGTGAAGTAATTTTTTGAAAATTAAGGAGAAATTTTAAATACATTATGAGAGTTTTTTTTTCGTGGAGAGATTTTCGAAAGATTTGATAACAATAAATTATAAATAAATTTATATAAAGGATCACAACATTATTTTCAATTCAAAATATTAAAATATTAAAAGAATAGAATTATGAAGTGGTATTGCTTTCCTCTTATTTATTTTTATCTAATATAAAATTTTCAACTCATTAAATTTATGATAATATAGTGTTTGTAATATAGTTCGTTAATTGATATTAGAGTTCTATATCTCTAATTTGTATAATAAAGGTTTTTATCAAATATAATAATCTATGATCTAAACAAAAATTTAATTCTGATTGAAAGATAGAAGGAAGTGCAATATTTAAATTTTTATACTTAATCAATTATTGACATTATTTTTTTGTCAAAAAAAAAAGGTTTAGTGATTTTATTTTATTAAAATACTAAATTAGATTCTTTAAAACATCTATATATCAGAATATATAATAAGTTCAATTGTTATGTTTGAAAATTTAATAACAATATTTATACAATATAACATTTGAAATAATCATTCATATAAATTTAAATTAAAAATTGTAATAATGATGTCCAAACACCTTTAGAAAAGAAATATCAGAATTTTTTTGGCACATATATATAAATACTTGAAAGCTGTGATATCTTCCTCTAAATATATTTAAAAAATAATGTTATAGGCAAACAATTTTATATTAAATTGAATTTTGTTATTAGATCCTATATTTAATAAAAAAAATAGATTATCAATATAACTATCGTGGATCTATATTAATAATAAGATACAATATGCTAACAAATAATTTTCCTGATATAAACATTTTTTTTTATTTTCAATATACTGAATGAAAGTATAATACATAACTCTATTAATTTGAATTCATAACATTATAGTACACTTTAATTAAAAAAAAACATTACACTACACTTTAATTTTTGTTAAATAATTTTTTGAGAATGTAACCACTTGGTAGGAGGGTTTTGTTCTTCATAATAATCTTATTCGAACATGACTTTCTATAAAAAAAATACCTGTCAATCTATGCTAATAAAACTTACCTAAACATTTAGTGTTTTTTAATCATCTATAAATAATATCATTAAAGTATAAACATATGTCAAATATTAATCATAAATTGCACTATTTGAAGAAAAACTTTAATTATGATTAACCTTATTACAATTAATTAGTTTCATAATAGATCTAAAAGATTGAAAAAGTCTGATAAACTAAAATTTTGTCAGAAAACTTATAAATTTATTACAATGTAACATCTTCCTTAATAGTATAAAACAACTAAATAAAATATTATAAAGTTTAATAACACTTAGAAACATATATGATATTAATGTAATTTTCATCATAATAATTATAGTAACATAATATATATCCATTAACTATAGACTAACGACTTTTCAAAATAAAATAATTCTTATACAAAAACATTTAAAGAAAATTCCAAACTACTTTGTCACATCTTCGTCTTCTCCAAAGGCGTGTTATCACCTACCTTGTGAGCTTCTCATACTGTGGAGTAATTATTGTAAAAGAACAACATAATATACAAAAATGCAAGGTAGTGAACAAAAACATTATCATAAAATATTTAAACTATATAAAATATAAGCTAAACATGGATAAGGTACGATAAATTACATATTTTCACACAACAGTTGACACTAATTTAATAATTAAGATACATGTCTTTAACATCGAAACTCATTAGAGGTACAAATCTATGGTGATTTCTAGGCTCTATAAAGCCTATCCTCAGGGGGTCATTACATAATGACACATAAGGTTAATCTCCTTCGCACCTAGGACCAAACATTATCCTTAGAATCTCTTGTTACTCTTCAAGACATAACACATTCTACTTTATCTAAGTGTGAATGGTTATTTGAGCATTAGGATACCTTCTCGTGGAATCTCATGTCAATGTAACACTAAATTTTATCATCACAATGAATTTCTCGTTGAAAACTCCTCCAACATTATCACTATATATATCCACAATAATCACCACCACAATTAAACACAATGATAATCATAGACATCCATAAAGTCTGTTATATAAATATATCTCAAACTACCAAAGAAGAAAAGAAATACAATATACACACTTAAGCTTAGAGGTGCCGCTCAACGCCAAACCTTTCACACAAAGGTAAGCTTGATGTATTCTTCTCGCAAAACTAGGCACTCAAAGGTATAGTTTTGGCGTTCAATGGTATAGAGTAGAAATTTACTAGACCTACAATACCAACATGATGCTCGGTGGCACCCTGCCACCGCTCAACGCTAAAGCGTCACAAAAACAAAACGTGCAGCAGCACCCTAACATCGCTTAGGGCTATACCAGATATTATAAGTATAATTTGCACTTTTTAAGAGGATTTTACTTGTTTGATTAATCAAATCGGTACTCTTTTCTTAGTGAATTAGTTCAAAATAGTTGTAGGCGTGAAAATTAGTACCATTTGACCAATTGTTCATATTATAACTCTCTTAAACGCATAAAATTCCAATCCAAACTAACAAATCACATTTCAAACAATTCACAATACACAATTCAATATCAATCATGCTTACAACAAAACCAATTCATTAAAACAATCACAGTTCATTTCTAACTTGGAATCAATCAATGGCATGCATTAATAAACTTAACAATACCAATATAAAAGACTTAAGTACTAGCTTCCCTTACCTTTGATAATAGACCAAGGAACTAAAATTCCTTTTAATGCTCTCAAATGCACATGAAATTCTATATGTCCCTAAGAACAACATAAACATGATCTTGATATGTCGTTAGAACCATTGATCAATAGTAAAGAAACAATTAAGCGAAATTTTGTCCAAATGCAAAGGAAGAACCAACTTGAACCTAGGAAAGGAACAAAAAATTAACTTACCCAAACCGAGAAAATGATCAGTTAGGAATGGAGAGCTTGTCACAAGGATTACTTAAGCGGTCTCCAATTTTCAAACATATAGGTGTGAGTCAAATAATCTAGAGAAAAGAGAGAGTTTTAGGAAAATGTTTCTTAAGAGAGTGTATGTTTTTAAATAATGAAAATCGTTTACAAAACTCTATTTATACTTTAAACTTTTTAATATTAAAATATTTGAGTATCATCATTCTAACACGGTTAAGAAGTGGACTTTAAGCCTAACTCAACCCCACAAAATTGGTTTGTAAGGTGAGATTTGTATCCAAACTTATATATTATAATTTGGCCTTATCTTTAGTTCATGTGGGACTTCCAACACACCCCTTCATGCCGAGGTATAAACATCTCGAACATGAGAGTAGAATTAATGAGTGGTCCGATAGTGGCCCAACAACGGGTGGAACAGAATGCCCACATAGATCNTTTTTTTTCAAATAATAAATTAGTATTTCTGAATTTATGCTAAATCAGGACTTGAACCC